CATCAAATTCATCAATCACATTACTCCATGACTCCATAATGAATGAATCCAGTGACTTATTGCCCGTAGTCCAATCAAGAGGTTGTGATGCTTTACACCAATAACAGAATACATTTATCATAGGTTCTAACGAACGTGTGCATGCCAGACATAATTCACGCCCATACTTTGCCTTTATTAGACAATACTCTCCCCTTCTATATGTAAATCCGATGGTAAGCCAAACATCATTGGTAAGAATATCTGGATGCTTATCACATAACTAGTGAAAATGATACATGATAATAAGTCAATAATTATTTAAAACTATTCAATAAACATGACGCATAAGTAATTAGTTTACCTCGGCATAATATAAATCATGTGTCTCGTTTGTTATTTCAAGCGGAATCAATTTAACAGATGCACGTGTAGATAGATCATGTAAGTATCCGTTTCCATCTCCCCAATCGCTAATACAATCGAATGGAATCCATTCCAAATAAGTATCATTTGGTGAGTTTGTTTGTGGTTGAGATTTCTTAATAAACTCATCGAGTTGCTTATTGTTGCTAGTCCATCCATCTGATAATTCTTTATGTCCACAGATGCACCACACGGGACTACATCGGAGTATTCCACATACAGTGCAGAAGCCATATCGAGAATAACAATGATAAAAGGGTTTCTCAGCAACCATGTAATAGTTGTTATTACATTTAGTAAATCCAATTATGAGTTTGTTGCGTCTCTTAAGCCATACGGAATGTCTTCTGAACTGATTAACATTATTGTTGTACTTGTGTGTCGGAAGTGAGTATATTCTAGCAAACTCACTCACAAGTATTGGTGTACATATCTCATCATTTCCAAGTAGTGAAAGCGTTATCGTCGTTTCCTTGACTCCACTTTCATCCAGCGTTCGTTTGTAAATAGCGTAATGAACATTGTCAATTTGAGTTGGTTTTATGTCGGCGATATCTGAGCAAGGAATCCATTGAAGCTTTAAGAATTCGTATTCACTTTCCAAGGAGGATTGGATCAAGTTGTCAATTGCTGGATTATTAACAGTCCCTAATGCTAACGACATAGTTTGAATAAGAGATCGAACTGATGATCCGTGTGTAACGCTTACTTTTTCTCCCTTTCCAAATTTGGGTTGTATATCTAATTTAAGTAATAAAAATTGGAACATCAGACCAAAAAAGAACACAAAATACGCATAATGATAAAAAAAAGACGCCACACGTATTCAATTATGTCAACTCCTCAAAACTCTAGGAGAGTCAGTTCATTATCGCCTGATTCAGAACTTGAGACTCTTCACTATCATTAGAAGAATTTGCAATTAATAGTGCTTGTTGAAGTAGCAGCAGAGACTAGATATTAATTAATTTTTTTTTTCGCTCTCGGCAGATCATCTACGCATTTAGTTACAGGTTTCTGTCTAAATGGGAACAAAAATAAAAAGGACTTGGACGATTTTGATTTCTATTTGGATCTAGCTATTCATGGTTATAGATCGACCAAAAATCCGCTATTAATAATGGTTAAATGGATGCATATCACGTACAACAAATTTATGATGACTGACAAATATGACTTTTCCACTTCTTCGAAGAGGACATTGGAGAATAGGGGGATCGAGGCGAGTGGATGGGAAAAGGACTATTTTTGATTGCAGTGCTCGGTGAAACTCGATAAGCCAAAGTCACGCTAAGCCGAAATTGCATTAAGCCGAAGTTTTTTTGATTCCCCGAAATTTTATTATAGCCTAAGCCGGAATTAATTAGTAAATTCGCGTTAAACGATAAGCCGAAGATTTTTGGCTAACCGACTATAATAATTTTATCTCGGTAATTATGTGGTTGGTTCATTCTTAAATCCCATATGGACATATTATTAGCGCAGACATTCTTTTCACATGCCATTGTAATGTCATAAACAATCGCTTTATTGTTCATAGGCCATTCTCGAACGATTTTCATGCATCCATTTCGCGCGCGTGGCTTGTATATATTTTTACGGGAAAAGTTTCAATTAACTTTTCATTTGATTAATATTTCAGAACAAATGATCGTGGAGAAAGTTCAACAAGTGGTTCTTCAAATGTTATGTTATTTTTAAACGATTCAAGAAATAAAACAGTAAAAAAAAAAGTGAACCGAAAGACGCTGACTGGCCTTGAAAACAATTTCTTTGTATTAATTCTTTGCTTCTGTATATTACTCAAGATTGTGATAGTGAGCTTCAAGTTGATACTGCCTTCTTATCCAATCTAAAAAAGTTAAAGAGAACGATTGAGACTAAATAATATAATATGTTACAGCAAACGAGTATTCTTGCGTTTTATCATTAATAAAGTTTATATATAGTGTTGTTATAAGCCGAACGCTTGTGTAAACTATATATACATTCGGCTTATTGCGAAATTTGATAAAACGAAACTCTCGATAAGCCGAATAAATTGTCCCTGCCCCCGACCTTCGGTTTATCGAGTTTCACTTGTATAGCCTGATGTCACGGGACTCCCAATGAGATTAGCATAGATATGATTTGGACCGTGTCACCTTCATTCTGAAGCTTTTCGTCGAACCACGGTTGGAATCAACTCATCGCATACGTAAGGTTGGTATTGTGAGCATCATTAAATCTGTTTGACGCAAGGTCAGCTTCGAATTAATCGGCATTTACAATGTTTGCGCAGCGCGTGGCGCGTTGGTTGTCATCGAAATAAAGCATCAAACCTTTTTTTTACCTCCCCCTTCTTACTTTTGACGCAAACTCTTTTTTCCTTTTTCGCAACACGCATTACAATCACATGTAAGTACCATTCTGAGATTTACAAGTGTCAGAATCTCTTTCGTGGAGTAAAACAGTGTTGTGGTGGGGTGTAGAAAGGATATTTCTAACGCTTTGACGCTTCATCCATTATGAAATTAGTACGATTTAATGTCTTCTTTATCCTCTCAACCCCAAGAACTGGGTTCACGTCCGGTTAGTACTAATAAATGCAAGACACATTTATGCATTCGTAATTCACTGACTTTTGCACACAGCAATTAGATACCTGTACCCTCAACAGCTTCCTGCAGCACTATGGACTAGGTTCTGTTTATGGCGATGCAATCCGTACTGGTGGCTGCAATACAGATGCCGAATTTCGTAATCTCTGCAACTACTCAATGGAAGGGATCACTGGATTTGTTGACCTTCTCCAACTCAGCCCTTTTCAAATCACTACCCTTAAAGAAAAAATACGTGAATTCAAGGGGCATGTTAATGTTGGTAAGTGGCAAATCATTTTCAAATCACCCAAACTTTAGAATAGCACACTACGTGCCTTCATACTCCACACCCTCCTTGTTAGTATAGCTTTAAATAATACCTTTCTATTACTCTTGCACACTGCTTTTCTTGCATTATTATTATGTTTGCCCATTGCTGCACTGTTGGTATTGTGCACTCAAAAAATATAATTATGTTGCATCAATGAGTGTTTACTCACCTATTTTACCCATTATCCAAAATTTTTAGATGATATAAAACCCTTACAACAAGAAAGTAAACGCTTATCAGATGAGTTGAATGGTAAAAGGTGTTTTTATCTAATGTCACTAATTTACTTCTAGCCACTTATACTTATGCATAAATATCCTGCTTTTGCAGAAATCAAGTCAAAGAAAATGAAATTCAATGTCAGTGAAGCCAAAGACATTTTGACCAAATACAAAGTAGCCCCGACTAATGCAATCAGAAAGGAAGGATTTTCACTTGGTGCACTCACCTTTGAAGAAAGGGTCACACTGCTCTCAGAACTTGGCAAAGAGCCTCTAGAAAATAATCAATTTAAAAGTTTATCAGATGTCATTCGCATTATATCAGATAAAGAAATTAATGAGGTGAGCAGGTCTTCCAGTAGTTCCCACGACATACCTCTAGAGAGTGATGATTGTACTCCCAATCAGTGGATTTCTTTTCAGAATCATCGCTTCCCTGTAATTGGTGAAGCTACACTTTTTGTAAGGAAGTCTTACCGAGATCTCTATAAAATAATCTCTGGACACTATGGTTCCAAATATGATATTCGCATCCTTCTCTCTGGAACATCTGGGATGGGAAAATCAACCTTCCTTTTGTATTTTCTCATTCGTTTCCTAAATGAATTCAATAATAGAATTGTTGTTTTTCATCCTCAAACCAAGAACCAGTTCCCGTACTATGCATTTACAAAAAATTTTGTCCGTGGGATAACTGCTATGGAAATTTTTGACTTTCTTGATCTCAAAGAAACTGTGTACTTGGCAGATGGCCGACATGATGCCAATATTGTTCAAGCATTTTCCATTACTGCTCTCTCACCAAGGAGTCTAACCACCACAGCTGAAAAAACATTTCAAATTTATGAAAAAAGTTGTACCCACATATTTTATATGCCACCATGGAGCTTGGAGGAGCTGGAAACCCTCCGGGCAAAGATCTTTGCTTACATAAAGCCTGAATTCTTGCTAGAATTTTTTGCACATGTAGGTGGTGTACCAAGATATGCCTTGCAGATGCCTGGATATGTTCTAAGAGATGATGAGAATAATTTAATGGATGCCTTGCAACAACAGTGTCTACGTCGAGTCACTCAAGCTCTTACAGAGCTCAATACTCCAGAGAAGGCTGTGACTTATATTCGCAGTGTTAACAACACTGTGCAGTACAGCAACCTTCTTGTCCATGTGAAGCCTAAGGATGACCGATACACTGACATTTATCCTCAGTGGGCTTCTCCCTATGTTGAACAGGAAATTCTACAATTGATAGATGATAATTATCTGATGGAAGTGTTGGATGGGATTCAAAAAGGAGAGGAAGGTGCAGCAAAAGGATTCAAATTTGAGTCAGTTATGATCTGTGCATTCCAGATTGGTGGCATAAAGTTTGAGTGTAAGGAACTACTTGAGGGTGGAAGAATTGGAAACACTTATACCATACTCATGCCAAAGAAACCCAAAGTTAAACGCATCCGAGTCCCTAACAATATTTCTGATCAATCTATCAATATTGAGGATAATGATTTGCTCCTACCAACCAAGTGTAACTTTCCTGCAATTGATGCCCTTCTTGCACCACATGTCCTGTTCCAATTTACTGTGAGCAAAGCACATCCCATCCTACAACATCCACTGGTGGATATTGTATCTAATTTGCACCCTCCTAATCACATTATCCCCCTTGTATTTGTGGTGCCTAGTGAAATTTACAACAATTTCAAATATCAAAATTATAAGGTACCCAAAACGAATCTGGCTCATGATTTAGACTCTCTTAAGGATGCTGAAAGGACACCCCAGGAGTTGGATAATGTCCAGCAAATGGCCATGAAAGTGGATCTTACACAAATGATGCAAGATCTAGCAATAATAAAGAGTGAATCATCTATAGCAAATGATGGGACTATGACTTTTGATAAGTTGTTTTCACCAGAGATAACTGTGGATGATGGTGGTGAACAGGCTGTTCATATGATGGATGTGACACCACAAAGTGCACCATCCTCAACTCCTGTGATATCTAGACCACTACTACCAGAAGATGATTTTTCCCAATTGACAAACAAACAACTAAAGGAACTATGTAAATTGGCAGGTATTTCATATAGAGGAAAAGATACAAAACAAGTTCTTATAAAAAAGTTGAATAACCAGAAAGCCAGCTAAGTACATGTTTGGATATGAAAAATTACCTTCAGCTATCTTTGCTTTATTTGCACTTTAAGCATTAATGTGCTTGACATGAGAGTTTTTTATTTACTTAGTTGTTTGCAATGTCAATCTTTGATAGCTCAAGATTTCAATTACCGCTATCCGCTGTTCTGTTAGTAGCTTGCTTCTTGTGTATCGATTATGATGACATGCTTGCATGTGGGTAAATAAAAGTTGCATAATGATAAAATCGTTCTTTGAATTCACGATTATTTGGAAGACAAAATACATGCTATTTTATATTTTACGATTGACATGTAGGAAATGTAGGTAATAGGTGTGATAGGAATAACAATACGTTGGCGAAAAATCAGATAAGTGAGTCACATGGTAAAATCTTCCTCCGCAGTCAAGCAAAATCGACGTTAATTTTAGAATGGTAGTACGGCGTTGCGTTTGTCGAATTTTGAGTGTCAGGCGCAGAAAACGTTTCGATTTTGCGTGTCAGTACAAACACAATTAGCTAAATTAGAATATTATTGGTTCTTCATAGAAATTACGATTGTTAACTAATTTTAACTCCGTTTCGATTTTTGAGTGTCGCTAAAGATATATAAGCGACCCTTATCCCATTGTCGAATTCTCATGTTATTTAATGCTATTTAATGTTATTAATGTTCATGTTGTTAATGTTGTAAATATTGTTCATATTATAAATTGTTCAGGCTATTAGAACAATAATTCCCACTCCATGGAATAATAATAAACGATTCCCTTTGAAATCGACACTTTACTTTCTTTCATTGTTAAAATATTAATTATTTGACCGGACATACTAATAAACGACTCTATCAAGCTGTAAACGTCCATAAACGGCTCTACCAAGCTGTATAAGTTGTCCGCTGATCCATTACTCTTAATTGAGGAACGAGAGCCAATAATTATTTATTGAAAAAAAATATTGTTTAATTATTTTGAGACAAGTGACGGAACTCGACTAGTCGAAATACCAAATCGAAGATAGCCCTGTTTAATATTAAATAAAATTTATTTCCCTTCGATTCCGCAATAGAATAATTGTTATTGTTATTTTATTGTGGGTACCCTTATTTGGAATCACGAGTGATTTGAAGCTCGGATATAGAGTTGAGAAGCGCGCATTTGATTTAATTATATAAATAGTCACTTGTAGATTAGAATTCAGTCTTAATTGAACAACTACCGCGGTAGCATGAAGCTAATCTGGTAACATCCCCCCCCGGTCGGAAGAACACCCCTACGCGAAAGATTAATTGCTCTCCCAAACCCCAGACCACCCGACCGTAACAGTATATTATAGATATGAGATTTTATCGTTGCCGAACTGGTAAGGTTTGTTGTTATCGATCAGAGGGATGTAGAGTTCACTGGAATTCTCCCACCCGTGTACCATGTAAAGAGTGTGGTAAATTAACGTCATCTATATTTGGCGCGTGCAGAACTCATGCTGGTAAGTATAGATTTCAAGATCATTATCAGCGGAAAAAGCTGGAGAAGATTGCGCAAAAATCAGAGATGCTTGGAGAAAATAGAGTATACAGACATAGTCGCAAAAGTTTCGTTTTTGATACACCAGGAGTTCCGTTTTTGATAGATCGGCAAGCACCCCAAATTTTGGTTCCT